CTCCTTTCCATTTGACGGCATTTCTATGTTAGTAAAGAAAGCGGCAGATCAATCACTTACCTTTCGTTAGCGGTTTCGCGACTCTAATATAGATGTTTCCTTTATATACTATAAATAGTTGTTTTGCTTTTTTTTGTTCTTTCATCTTGAATCGTTTTCGAATAATCTCGAGAGTAATAAGTCGCCAGCCTAAAAATTAAGCCTGTATCTATATAACTCGTTTCAACATGACGAAATCCAGATAACATTGTTAAATTTGGGTAGGGCATGCACTTCAAAACGCAAAAAAATCCGCACTATGTTCCGTCAGAAAGCAAGCCCCATCTTCTATTCTTATCATTTGTTCACTTATTTCACTTACTTTCAAAAAGCGGTACTGGCACTAGTCAATCATCGTGCCTTTAGCCAATGATGGATTTACAATCACCGCGGTTCTTCGGAGAATACCACTTTAGCGGCGACTAAAACTAAAGCGTATGGCCTTGTGGAGGTTTCTAAGGATCGTTAATCCCAATGGACAAACCTTGGATCCCATTAGCGCGGGCGCCGGTAATACTCTATCTTAGAGCTCATAAAGGTGTTGGGAGCATTTTAGTAAAGCGCGTTCAAATAGCATGAGCTTTTGATACTTATGAGATCGATGATGTATTGAAATTCGTCTTTCATTGTTGTTCTTTTGACGGTGTAATAATGCGATGTACCTCCTTATATTTATATAGGACTTTCGATCTACCTTGGCGAATTGTCGTCGAGAAAGGACAACAAGGACTTTCCCCTATGTTACGTTTTGTCAACATATACTATTTTTATGGGCGGTGCCGCGATTACTAGCGATTCCCCATACTAGAGCGCGCCTACATCCAATAGGTACTCAATTCTATTTTAGGGCGATAAAGAACTTAGAGCGAGATAATTATATATCCGATATGTACCTTCCTTCCATCCGGGAGTACCCGTTTATCAGTGATCTCTTAGAAACCAACATAGTCTAGTGTACCAAATAGTGGTCGGATCCTAGATTTAAAAGAGTCATTCTCCCTGATCGGGCGGGAGTAAGAAGAAGAAGGAGCACTTTCATCTTCCCTTCCGGGCTTACAAGACGAGACCTAGATGGTACGTTATAGGATATTCGAAAAAAGCAAGTAGGACAAAATGACTGAGGTAAAATGGCACGCGGTAGTCATTCAAACAAAAGACGCTGAGGAACCTCCATCGAGCCACGTGATCCGCTATAACTCACACAAACAAAGACTAGGTTCGGCTTCTCAAAAGAAAAGGGTGGGAGAAAAGAGGACAGGGGCGCTCCCCGCTAACCGAAGTCTTGGATTTTTCTTTCTCGGAACCTTCCCTTACCTTTTATTCTCTTTAAATATTTCGTATTAGTGCAAGGGGGTCTTCTTTCTTGAAGTTGTAATGGCACAAGAGGACGATTCTAGGCTTCAGATAAGCAAACAAACCTGTGCTCCCTTTTTCCAGTTGTAGCAACTCAAGTCCGTAAGCGGGTTCAACGGAAAATCCAAGGTTTTCTCGAATCAATAAAAAGATAATAATAAGGTAAAATCTAGCTATTCCACCTTTCACTGCTAGTTAGTGGTCTGGTGGTAATGAAATTATAAATTCGTCTTGGCTCCCACCGAACCTCTTCTTAGAGCCTTTCCTTGCCCAAGCAAGGGCTATGCTATAAGAAGAGAAGGAAATGCTTGGTTTAGGGAACCGGCCCCCCAGTCGCTAAAGTAGTTCATCGTTTAGAGCCGCCCAATATTAGTTTTACAGCCCCCAGTTAAAGACCGAGAAAGCCTTCACTAAAGCATAACTAAACCCAAACTTGGATGACATTATATTTTGGGGTGGGGTTCTCCTGAAAAAAGGAATTTATTTCCTGGACAGACCATCTAATAAGGGCAACTGCGACGACGAAACCCCTTGCTTTAGCTTATCTAAAAGCTTGGGGCGTGTAGCTCTCCGTACAAGTAAGAAAGTTAGTGTCGTGTAGCCCTAGGTGAAGAAAAAGAAAGAATAAGGAGTGAGAACCAAGGAACTCCAGAGAGGTTGGTTACGAAGTTGGTCAAAAAGCTAGTACATCATCTCCACCTGGAACTGGAAAGTGCTAAATAACTCTTTTATTAGCGACAACTATAACTTTATCTGCTTATTCAGTGAGGAGGGCAGCATCTGCCTTTGAATGGAATCTAGCTAGGGCAAAAGGTATACCTCGACCTGGGGTGGGGGCAGAACAAAGAAAACCGCAAAGAAAGAAGGGACAATCTATCTGAATTAGAGATTGCACAAGCTTTCTTGAATTAATTACTTTCCGCAGATCTATTCGTAAAGCTTTATATCTTTGCTTCGGGCTTATAGAGCCTAACGGAAGAACTTTCTTTGGTATTGGGTAGGTGGATTGGAAGAAGAGCAAGGTCATTGGTTTGCTAAATAGAAATGGAGATGGTTCTTCTGGGTTCAAATCCCCGTCTTTAAATTGGCTCGATCTGTATTGGCCACATCCTCCATTGGTAAGCATCACTAACTAAGAGTTGAGTTGCATCTTTTCTTCTCTTTCTTTCCTGGTCTTTTCGGAGGGTAAAGGTGAACTCGGATGGGTGCGCCAAGGGGTGAGGCTGGATAAAATCATTAGAGATACTCGTGGGCTTGTGACTTGGGAATCTGTAGTCGTCTTAGGCGGTCCGGTACCTTCGTGGTACTAACATGGTCTACAAAACCTAAGTTAGTTTGCATCCAGTCATGGATGGATGACAGTCATGCAACTCACACCTTAGGTCATACCAAGGTGCCCTATCTATATAGGGTTCCCACGCAATGATGGATTGGTGTCGAAGACCAATCTTGTGAAGGACGCAGAGGGCTAATTCCTTCTCGTCGCTCAATCTGGAGTAAGAAGCCAGCTACCAGCACGAGTGTACACATCTTGGGATGGTACATCTTGTGACCACCAGCATTGCAGGGCACTAAATGATAGTTTTTATTCTCCATCCTGAAGCCTTGGCTTCGCACCCTAATGGGCTTATGGGTACTGGTGGGAAGAGGGCACAAGCAAAGTGATTATGAATTGTTTTGCCTTCTTCCCTGATTCGTCTTTCGCCATTACGGCAGTTCTTCGAAGACTTCTCTCGACTCCTAATCTAAAGCTAGTGGAAGTAGTCCTTTTTAAGCTGTTTATGGCCAAAATCCTGAGAGTCCTCTGGACTTAGCTCCACTTCCAGCTACTCACAACTTTAGTGGAGATGCGGTTGAAGAAAATTTATAAGTTGCATGAGCGAGAAAATTTCTAACTAAGCAAAATGAGAAGTATCAAGCTCAAGCTAACAAGCATCGCAAGTTTTCTGAGTTCAAAGAAGGTGATCTGGTGTAGGTTCATCTTCGAAAGGAGTGTTTCTCGCGAGGACAATTTGCTAAGCTCAAGCCTAGAGTTGATGGACCATTCAAAGTTCTCAAACGCATTGGTTAAAATGCCTACAAGATTGAACTACCAGCTGAGTATGAGGTTTCAGAAACATTGAAAGTTTTTGATCTTTTTCCTTATTATGGTGAAGAAAGCACTAACGACTCGGGGGCGAGTCTTCTTCAACTTAACGGGGAAAACTAGAAATAAAGGAAGTAGTTTTGGCTGGGTAAATTTCTTTAGAAATGTTATAAATAAAAGAGAGGGGCTTTCTTTCTTCAACATGTGAGGGAAATGCCCCGGGTACCGAAGTTAGCGGATAGAGAGGGCGGCGGGTGGAGGGAGCTTCACTTACCGAGAGGGATGTTATTCGAACGACAAAATGGATGGGCACGGACAGAATGAATCGCCCGACTGGAGCATAAATGCATTCTTAGAATCAGAAAAGTAAGAATACGATCTTGTCGCAATGGAATCTGTAACTGCAGCTATTGAGTCTGATGTGGGCCTAGAAGAGAGCTTTCACTGGCTTTTGATTAGGATGGATGTAGATATAAGTCGTCTCTTGGCCAGGGCATTGGCAGAGCAGCTTCCACTCCTCCCTTCGATAAGCTTCCTTTTTTAGGCACTGGACCTAGTTACCGCTCCATGGGAACATCTATAGATTCCGCTATCAGGAAAGTAAGGCATGGAATCACGCTAAGGTAAGGTTTCTATCTAATCCATCTAGAATAGGATCTAATCTATCTATTTAATTTTCCACTTCTGCCCGGCTGACTGAATAAACAAAAGGAACCATAGCTAATACTGATCGATGAGCCTTCTCTCTCCTTGATCTGTCTAGTTATATTTTGACTAATCCGAATCTGCGGACTGAGTGAATAGCTAACTAAAATATAATATTTGAGGATATAGGAGTGAGGATATTCTTCGCACCGATAAAATCATTAGTAAATCTCGTTATCTCCACGGGTTAAGGGCAGAATCAGACCTTAGGGAACCGGTACGAAAGGGAGCTAGCTAAGGCAGCAAGCCAAGAAAGGCAACATAGTAGGCCTTTTAGAAAGGAAGCCAACTCTTGTTCGACGTAGGGTAGAGTAACTTATTTCATTCCTGGGGTTTTCCATCTGGGCTTTAATGCGGCTAGAGACAGAGACTTTCCCAGTGAAAGCACTGGCGTTCAGTTTGGTTGCGTGCTTTCGATCTCTTTCCCTTCCTTTCTGTGGTAGCATGTTTGCTAGTCTTGTCGGACTAGGAGCTCTACTAGGCTTGACCGTGGTAAATTTACTTATTCTTGCTCAAGTCAAGTGGAATCAGTTTCATTTGGTTCTAGACTACGATTCAATAGAGAATGATTTGGCACATCTTCGATTTCCTGGTATAAAAGATTGGTTTTATTTGAGTTCAAGATATTCAGGTCTTTGCTTTTGCTCTTTGTGATCCTTGTCTTTAGCTTGGGACTTAGCTTGGCACCAGGGCGGCTTGCTCATCGTGCTTATGGCTTGGCCAATTGACATTATCTTCGATCGAGTGCTCTTATTTCACAATGATAGGTGGGTTACCCTTTCTTTGAACCTTGTCAATGATCAAACTTTAAACAACGGGCGGCCTACCTGACAGCTATCAATCATGAACTAGCAGGATGGACTGCCTTTGAAGCCGGTATTGTTTATATAAATTAGACTTTAGAATAACAACTCGCTACCCGTGCTTCCTTTCTATCACTACTAAAATTCTTTACTTACTCCCTTGCTATACCTTGCCTTACTTGATAGCTTCGCTTGTTTACAGGTACAGGATAGGTCGCTAAGCTCCCTCTTCATATCTATGGGGCTAGGCCAATAGTAGTACTTTTTTGCTTATTCTCTCTGGGCGAGGGCACCCCCTTTCAAGTCTCAAGGTTTGGAACCAACTCTACTAGGTTGAGGAACCCACAGGCAGTATAATGTTACCCCACCTTCCGTAGGCATTTTCAGGGAGTAGCCTGCTTAAGCATACACTTGTATTGGGCTGCGGAGGATCCCGAATCCCGGGGATCCCGAGGCGGCTCCCGCTCCAAAATAAGACCATCAATGGAAAAGAAATAACAAATAATACAACACCCTCACGATTCAAAAAATGAATATTCGTCAAGGTCGGCATCCCGGATTCCCTTGTTCCGGATATCGGCAAAGATCAAATCAGCCTCACGTAGTTCAAAAAGAATTCCGTTCTGTATTTCTTCCTCTGCTGCTTGACAGGTTAAATATCTCCCATTTTTTCCTTTCTTTTCTTCCTTCTTAGTTCCAACTCTTCTGGAGTATAACATCTTCCAGAACGAGTCATTCCTCCAATTTCTGCCACCTACCTCGGGCTCTTTTCCCCTTGTTCGGTAGTAGCCTCGATGTCGTAATTCCAAGGCACAACATGATTTCCCGTGTTAGGTTCCAGGAGGCTGATAGTGATGGGTCCCTTCGAGGGTGGATAGGTGATAACTATCGGTTTTGGGATGGGTCTGAGTGTCAGGATTTTCGGAACCTTTGGTGCGAAAAATGATGCGCTTGGAATGGTGATAACAAGGGGCTGCGATTGTGATGGAACTGGTACTAGGTAGGTGGATCGAGGGGCTTGGTAGGACGTAGGCCTATTTTGTGCATTCTGAATGATCTGGGATATAACGTTGTGCAGATCAGGGCTATTCCTGTGTTGAGGCCGGATCGGAGGTTATATCATGTTAATCTCTGTGCAATCCGCGTCTTTCACCTTAGGCCAAACGAGACTATCTTTGAGTGAAATGGGTGGTTGTATCTGGGACGTCTTTCTCTTCTTGCATAGACTACTACTCTCTGATTCATCCTGCAATGAAGGGCATGGATTCTTCAAAGCGTAATACGCATTCCTCCCTCGCATCAGAGTAGAATAGATGCCCCTCACTAGCAGCAGTTTATCTCACATATCCCTACCCGGACCTGGCATCAGGAGCCAAGCCGTATCAACAATCAACAGCATACTTAAGATCTCGGAGAAGAGGATCCCCGGCAATAACTCTCCTTTGACACATAGGCGCTATCAGCCCTTCTCTTATGCCGGGTCTGGGGGAGGAGTAATTTTTTCTGCCTGGAGCGAGCCAGGTCTGGGATCTTTCCCATAGCCTTCTTTCTTTATTATTTCTGTGAACCTGAGCGAATTCTTTTCTCTATTGTACCTAAATCTTCAACGTTTCAAAAAGTAATCTTTCTGAGTGCACTTGACCGCCTTACTTTACTCGCGGTACACTGACTATATTCCGCAGAGGTTGGTAAGAGCTTATTTCACAGCAAGACTGAATGGAATTAGCCTCGTAGAATTGAACTACCTTGATCTAAATCTCTGTAATTCACAGAAGACCAAGGCACATCCACTCTAAATTCAGCATAAGCTTGGGATCTTTCTTTCCTCAAAGCTAAAGCCCTTGAAGCCTGGTCTTTCTTATTTAAAGCCTGGAGCTGGTGTATTACTTTATTATATCGTCAGTAAGGAAGTTGAGATTGTCAGTTTCATTTCGTGAACCAGCTACCCTTTCTCTTCTTCTTCCGTAACTTCTTCTTAGTATACCTACTCTAGAACCGGGGGGATACTCTGTGGCTTTATAGTCTTTGCATCCACTTGGCCACTCGAGTCTTGGCTTGGCCACACTCTAATAAGTTCCCATCTCCTTTTTTAATTAAAAAGCTACTGGACTTGGCTTCTTTCCTGCACATAGTGTCTTATATTGAATCACATCTGCAGCGCTTACTGATTCAATCACAGAAGAAAAGATCATAGCTGATACGCATTTAATTGCTAACATCACACTGTTTACTGATTAACGTCTGACTACAACTCGTATGAGTTCTTACGGTTGGTTGGGAAGAGTCTCAACTTAAAGGTACTACATACTTGATTAGAGAAGGAATTTCTTACTTAATGCCATGCTTTACAGACATTCTGACCAAAGCCCCGGATTAGTAACATAGGATTTTGGCTTTTCCGTCTGAATCCCATTCTATGAGGGCCGCCTCACTAGCCTTCCTATAAGGCCTTTAGAGAGGATTCAAACTCTTCGTCTGTGACTCACTGGCATTTCTTCCATAATGAAGAGAGAGTAGAGATATTGAAGCAGAAAGCCTATTAGGCTCGGTACGCTATAAACATCCAGTTGCCATATCTTCAAACCTATTACCGTAGGTCGACTGTCAGTAACCCTCGCTCTTTTTCGTGAAGAGTAAGTATCTAATCCTTCTACTCTGGAAGTTGATTGAGGACTTCTATTCACTTTGATAGATGGCGTTGGAAGGAGTGGTGTCCAGGATTAATCCCAGTACCACCACACCTCTCCTTGCCCGTGGTTGGTTTAGGCCACGAGCAAAGACCAATAAGTCTTGACCAGTAAAGCCTCCAGAGACCCAGGTCCCACCTAAACTAAAACTTGAAGTCAGAGCTTTTGGTGGTTTGATCTCACCTTTATGATACTTCATATTGAGATCAAACAAAGGCCACGATATCCCAAACCTTATCAGCTCTTGATTTTAATCCTTTGCTTTCCAAGATGTTAGGACAATTGGGCCTTCAAACCATGATTCAATGGAGGTATCCAGAGAAGAGGACTGGACTGTGTACCAGGCCAAATACTTAAGCCAGGCACTGACGAGCTAGCTGGGCGAAGGGATTCCCGAGTCAAACGACTACCATATATAGCATAGAGCTGGAAGTTGCACTAGTGGACAGAGAAGACTGGACGTGAACACGAAACTGTACAGGAATCAGAATCGCCCGCCCCACTTTCCTTCTTTGAAAGAGCATAGCCCTATAACCCCTAAAAAGAAAGAGGAAGAGAGTGTAATGCCATAAAATTTTAGATATCCTTTATAATTCTGATTACTCTAAAGAAGCGCGAGCGCTGGGCTTTTCGTGATAAAAAAACTATCCTAAACTCTCTTCTTCCGGGGATTCGGGTTAGTTGTTGACTTACAAAGAAAGGCAGATCGATTAAGATCTTCATCTTTATAAGGCATTCTAACTCTAACGATTAACGATCATAATCCTTTTATCAGGGTGCTCTTCACATTCATTCATCAGCCTGCTTCAAAATCCCTTTGCGTGCACCTTTCTACTAGTCTCACTTGAAATGAAGTTCTTCCCATTCCCCTGGGGTAAATTCCTTGGAAAAGACGCTTGAGCAGCCAGCCTTCTTGCCCAGGTCTTGGGCTAGGCTAGGAGATTGGAAGCCTCAATTCAAGTCGAGCAGCAGCTTTTCTACACTCAAAGGGAACCCAGCATCCCACTAACTGAGACTTCCTATGCATAGTTGTAGCCTTTTGTCATACCCAAAGGCTACTTAGTGCCTCCACCAACTGGGAAGCTAGAGTATGAGTCAAAAAGCCCACCTACACCTCCATATATAGAGAATATCAGTCTTTAATAGGGCTACAAGGGAGAGTGTCGTCAAGGGGCTGTGGGCGAGCTTGGCCTTCGTCGGTAACAGATTGTGCCCATGATTGGGAAAGCTGCTGAGTTCGCTAGATCAAAAAATTACATTAGAAAAGTCAAAAGTCTCATGAGTCGCTGCGGGCTTATTACAAATTCCATTGCTAACATGAATCAGCCATTGTCTTTTCGGGTTCCCCCACCCAGGTGGTAAATTACTTACTTAGACTATAGCGACCCTAATAAGACATACCCACTTATCCTTAAACGAAAAAGAGGAGCACACCAACTCTATGAAGAATTCCTGGCCTTGTTACAACAATACGCTTAAAATACCCGATTAATGCTGAATTGGGGCAAAGACTAAACCAAACGAGCTCTTTGCGCCCTACGATTGCAACTGTTATGCTTGTTGGGTGGTCCTACTCTTTGAGGAGTATGGGTCGATTTCGCTTGTTTCAAAGTGCACAGACTAGACAAACTAAACGGCACTCAAGCTTTAACCTACCTCATCCACCGCCCTGACGAAATTAAGTAATTCCAGATCAAGTTCGGATCCGTGGAACTACCAAGGAAGAATTGGGCTTGACTGCGCCAATAGCCATCCTCCACTAGATACATCATTCAGAAATTGGGCAGTAGATCGGTGCGCGCAAACATATCTTCTCGGACAGAGGGACCGGAAAGACTTCTACAGGCTTTCTTTTGCCCTTCTTTACCGCTTGGAACTAGATGTAATCGAACTTACACTTTATGAAGGCAACCCAAAGAATAGACTGGTAGGACCCTATTCGCGCGCCTATGGACCAATGTAACCCAACCAGTAACTAGTGCCCCCAATGGACCTCTCATATGTAACTCCAACTGAAAAGGGGGACGGAATATAAATTTTAGATTATGGGCTTGATTGATCATACTTGATGACTGATTGGTGGATACCTTTGTTATATAGTTCCGATGAACCCCACGGATGTCGTCTATAGGGGCTACCTGAAGCTATTCTCTGATCGGTACCTATACCCACTATTAATGAACATAGTCGATGTTAAGGTTACTATAGATGGAAATGCTTCCACCTCAACCCTTCTTTTTTTCTTAGTAAAGCGCGTAGAAACCCTCTAACCTAGGTCTCCTGCACTCTTATTTGGTTTAGAATTGGGACAAGCCAAAACCTTCATTATTAGTAAGATAGGTTGCTTTCTTGTCTTTAGGAGTGAATTGCGTAGGCTGAGGGGCTACTAGCGGGATTCTTTGGATAGAAGAAGATCTTGGTAAGGTTTAGCAGGGGCTTGCTAGGTATTGACTGACCCTTGAAGTTGAGGTAGAGGCTGTAGGTATTGCTGAGACTGACCTAGCGGAAAGGGATATTTTTCTGGTCTCACCTGAGAATGCTGTAGCGGCACTGGTTGAACCTTCTCTCGCGCCTGAGGCTCTTTGAAGTTGTTGCGGTTGAAGCTGAGTCTGCTGGACTTATTGCTGCTGAAACTGCGAATTCGCCTCTAGACCTGTCTGAGTGGAGGCTGTAGTCTGGTAGTGCTGAACTCTTGATGGTCTCTCTTTTATGAAAGGGATTGCTTTGTGACATGGGTTTACTCTTATTCTCGGAATTTCTTTGAGATTGTGGGCTAGTCTGAATCCTAGATGCAAGCTTCTTAGGTTGAGAAAGGGTGCTAGTCTCTTGTGCTTTCATCTTAACATTCATCAGTGAAGGCTCAAAGATGTCATACATGGGGGACTGCATCTCTCATGAGTGCAGACCTTTACGTAGACGACTGTGTCAAAGTAGTAAGAAAGGCAGTAATAACAAGAGATATCTCTCTCTCCCGGGCGCGTATTGCCGAAAAGAAGGTTTTGCTTCAGTTGTGCTACTCTAGACCTGCGGAAGACAGGTGATGCATGCAAAGGCCTAAGTCCCGCGATGTGCAGAGAGTGTACACCAGTCTGTGCTCGTGCGTCCGGGTGATCCTCAGGTGGAGCCCAGGTGTCAGTGTCAAATGCGTGGCAGAAGCTAAATAGAAAAAAGAAAGGAATTTTGGCGCAAAAGGAAAGAAAAAGGGGGCGATCTCGATAAGCTAAGCAATTGACTATTTGTTTGTGATTCTTTCAAGGAAGGCTCAGATCCAATATCGGTAGCGGAAGAATTAGACTTGTGTAAGCTTGAGGCCTGGACCATAAAGTCTAAAATTAAGTATAGGCCAGGGGCAGCAGTATAAGATTGGACAGGAACCCGAGAAGGACAAAAACTAGATATCTTTTGTGGAAGTTACTTACGATCGGGCTTCACTAATCTATAGCACCTGAACTCCTGAGCTTGCTTGGGTGAGTGGTGGGATGATAAATGGACTGGT